TTAAGGATTAGTACATTACGTAGATGCTGACACATCTATATTTTTACTTAACAATTTCTTTTCTTATTTTTCAGAGTCAGTCGTAGGATTGCTCATAAGACGATCTCGGACGTTTACAAGTGGTTTCACGACATCATAACTTCGGAGGCTTGACTTGCTGATGATGTAAGTGAAGAAGTAATATTGATATTTATTACGTATCATATTTTTGTGTTTTGCATTTAGGAAATTAAATAACTCCTTTTTTAATTTGTGCAGCACATTGACTTCGATATGGATTTGCTACGAGATCGAGCTGAACGACATCCAAGATCGTTCCACATTCCTAGCCGACTCATATTGAACACTGAGTTCATACGTGCCGTTGATATTGAGTACCAGACGTTGCAAGCTATGGGTAGCGAGTACACGGTGCCTACATACATGATGGAGTGGGTCGTAGGGATGTGCCAAATGTCGGGGGAAAGCCATAGGGGGGATTGTACGCATCTGTACATTCCGGTATGTATCAATCATCACTACATTGCAGTGGAGATTATATTTGCCGATTCGATTATGTATGTGTATGACCCCGATCATTCATGTCTGACACAAGGTCAGCTCGAGCAAAATCTGGAGTCGGTGTCTATGATCGTCCCCATGCTGGCTAGACGAGTGAATATTACTGTGCAGGATAGATTAGCCACCGTGCAGGACATGACGACGACCAGACATCAAATATCATAAGTGTTTATTATTTTATTTTTGTAATTTACAACTTACGTTCTAGTTAGACAGTGATGTGCTAATACGATATTTTGTAATTGTAGGGGTGATTGCAGTATATTCGCTATCAAGTACATAGAATTTTTGAATGTAGCACAGAAGGTTGACGCAATCAACCAGGCGTGGATACAAAATTGGAGAAATAAATTAGCTTGTGATTTATTTGAATTTAATGGTGATCCGTAGATATTGAGTCATGTTTCTTTAAAATAATTGTACATATTGTAACGTTTAAATATTGTATATTTCATTCATTCATTCATTTATTTGTAATTACGAAGTGATTGTAAAACATATATTATTTTTTTAATATTTAAATTTTGTTTTTAAGTTTATGTGTTTATTTAAATGTTTCATGACGTATTTATAATGTTTGAGTATATTGTGGAGAACGCGCTGAGTTTTAAAAAGGGATTAACTTCAAGTATTACGCAACTAATTATTGAAATATTAAAATAAAAAAAACTAAATCTAATAATTAACATTAAGAATATGCGTGAATAATTAATATCAATGTTATAAATAATGTTTTTCAATTATACATCTGTTACGTTGTCATGCTGAGGGATCTGACTTGTACAAAATCTTCTAGTATGTCATGTTACACCACACCCGCCGCACTTACGAGGTCGGAGAAATTCTTCGATCGATGGTATTCTAGATGTACGTGTACGTCCAGGAGTATGTGGGCCGACTGCTGCTGGCAACAAGTTATTTAATGAGAGAATGTGATCAGGAACTTCCCACTCGGCTTCATTCGGTACAAGAAATATGGTTTCGGCATATGCTGCTCTCCAAGAACCAGTCGTGTAATAAGCACTGTATATGGTGTGTGATGGAATTCCTCTATACATAGCTACCGCCACTACATGTGTACACGAAAAACTCTCCAACTGAAATTGTCTACACGTGCACGTGTTATCATTCAAGTCGACGACGTATCCGAAATTACGTGCATATCTCGCGGAGAATCGAAACTGATCTAGTGGTTCTACATATACCTTCCTTGCCACCTCTAGAGTCTTGAAGAGTTTATTTTCCTGAGCCGGGGTTAGCACACTTGTGTAACTCTGTGACTCCTTACGACGATCATGAAACCACTGTTGCAGCTTATCACGAATGTTCTCAAGCATTGCAAGAATTGATAACTCTTGATCCTTATTAAATAAGGCATTGAGCGACTCCGCATTGTTTGACGTCATCATGTTGTATCGACGTCCTGGAAAATGTGATCGTGCCCAATGTTCAATCCCCATCTCCGTCAGATACTCCCATGCATCATAGGATTTACTTTCGATTTCAACCATAAACTTTTCAAACTCTTGAAAATCGTAAGCCTCTGCAGCTCTCCTAAACAATGTAACGATGCCCTTGCCTTGATACTTGGTCTTCAGATTTTCTTGTATATGGTACATACAATAACCATGATGTGCCTCGGGAAAGACTTCGGCGATACCGTTAATTATTGATTGCCCTCTGTCGATTACGAATGCAAGGTTCTCAACATCCCCAATTACTTCCCTCAACTTCGTGAAAAACCAACGCACTGCCAAATCATTTTCTCCGTCAACTATGCCGAATGCAAGAGGGTAAATTTGAATGTTAGCATTTTGACATGTTACAATAATCAACTTGCCCCCGTATCTCGCCTTGAGGGTTGTACCGTCCACTAGAATTAAGGGTCGCATTGCGTTTCGAAATCCTCGAACGCATTGTCCAAGGGCCATAATGAAATACTTGAAGTGATTCTCGTCATTTTTCTCAATAAAAAATGTCGATTCAGTATTAAATCTTCCCATATTATAGCAAAACCTGACCAATTAAATAAACAATAATCATAATTTAAATAATTAAATAAACAATATTAAAAAATTGAAAATTTAACAATTGAATTAAATAATTAATTACACATTAGATAAAGATTCGATAAATAATTAAATAAACAATTGAAATTAATATCTAGCCAATTTAGCATAACTCTCATCGGTCAAACCCATCAAGTCCTCCAACGCGCATTCTTTGGCCTTCCAAGCCTTCTGATAGCTCATGACCACCCCGTACTCTCGACGAACATCATTAATAATGTCCGAAGGTCTGTAGATTATTCGTGGGTCCTGAAACTTGTGCATTACTTCTCGACCAAATAACCATGATCGGGTTTGCTTGTGATCTTTTCGACGAATACCCACTTAGCAAGTATGTTCCCGTGCATACTTACGAACCACAAAGAACTCATTCATTTCCATTTTCGTTGCTCGCAAACGCCGAAGGCAACTGTCGTTAACGCAGACAATTGTGTAAGTCGACTTGTTTGATTTCTTCACTTTAAACTCAAAATTGTGTTTCAAAGCAATCCGATGAACAGCTTCCTGCAAATCTTTCTTCGTGTCAAACAGTTGCTCGATATACAAATCTTCATCATCGGGGACTATACGCGAACAATTAGAGGACTGTGCACTCGGTCCAGCCTATGAGCTCCCACTCGACGCATGTCTCAAACAGGATAAAGCAATTAAATTCTCATTTGTAAAGTCATTATCGAGGACTATACGTGAACAATTAGAGGATTGTGCACTCGTTCCAGCCTGTGAACTCCCACTCGACGCATGTCTCAAACAGGATAAAGCAATCAAATTCTCATTTGTAAAGTCATTATCTCTTTCGTTGTCTTGAACTACCGAGCAAATTCTGTGTGTAACAGTGATATCATGGTGAGGAGCAACTGTCTCTAGAACAGTTACAACATCATCACGCACTATTTCCACTGTGTCCCAAAACTCATTCACATTACGATCCCCTCCATTGAAATCTCCATGTTCACTCTCGGGAACATTCTTCTTCATCAAAGTTACGCAAATATGAATCGCACATTTCTGGTTCATTTCAATTAAAACCTTCATTTCAGCTTCAGAAGTAACCGTTATAGGTGGAATTGAACTTGATGTATTCTCGCCCATTAGAAATCTCAATTCCATGGCGTATTCAGAGGGATCGACTTTCAAGAAGTTCTGTATCTCATTGTACATTTCTGCATATGATGTGCTGTATGTTATTACAATTGCAATACAACCATGTCTTTCACTCGTCCATTTCCACACCCATTGATCATTGTCATTATTTTCAAA